AAAAAACATGTAGACGTGGCACTTGGGGACACTTAGGGCTTGGTGGTGTTGCGTTGATGGTTGGACTTGATGATCTTAGAGGTCTTTTCCAACCTTAATGATTCTGTGAAAAGATGCTTCCAGATAATGTGAATTAAGTTGCTGGCTCATTTGAGGAGGGTGAACTGCAAAAGCAGCACACATCACAGACAAATCCCTTCGTGTTCTCCCAACTCGATGACAGTGGGAGTGTGTTAAGTCTCACAGGAGCAGGCTCAGCTCTGGAATGCAAGTTTCAGTGCTACCCAACTTGCAAAACGCAAAACTGAATTCAAAAGAAAGAACAGGTAGAGGAGCTCTAAGTTACTCGTAGCGCCCTCCCTCACTAGTGCATACCTGTGCAGCGTCCCCTGATAAGCCTGTTTCCTGCAGTCTGTTTCTAGCAGTCCTGCATGTTAGGCTTTCCATCGTATCCTACAGATATCATTCTGCAATGTTTTCCGTAAGTTCAGTTTAAGTTTCCTGACATTTCAATCTGGTAGGTATTCTGAATTATCAGTCTCAGAGTATTCAAAAAAACTTGTTTCTACCCTGGATGTTGACACCAATAGCAGCTCTGCACAATTGTTACTCTGCCAAGTATAGTGTCTTGGTAAGTGTTCCTGGCATCAGCTCTCCTCGCCCCTTGTCTCCTATAATGAAGTGCTGCAGATACATACCTGATACTGGCTGTTCTTATGCTTCCAAATAACGAGAGCTCATCAGCACTACAATCGGTGTTTAAAAAGTCAAAACTTTCCAGCACTGTCTCCACCATTAAACTTTCCATAGATGAATGTTTGTGATGAACTGTCTTTAGCTGTTGATGGAATGGAAGGAAAAATATTGTTATTTGTAGTTATCAAGCTGTTTTGTATGACTAATTTGCTGTTTTTCAAATCACTCTTAATAACAAATGAATTTGCTTTTCTGATTTCATTCTTAATGCATCAGGAAGGTTAGCTCTTGATCCCAAAACAATGTTGCTAATTAAATTCAAAATATGCTTTCCACATTTTAATGTCTGTATTCCTGTCTTGATTTCCGTGCCTGCTAAGGCTGGTATGAGAGCTAATTTTCTGTGCATCTTCTGCCATTAGTGCAATTTTTATTTATTCTCTGTCTCAGATCTAGAGGTAGCAATCTTAGGAGTCTGTTGCATTCTAGCATAATATCCAAGAATTTCGATAGTAGGGGATTTCATGGGGCCACTAACTTGGAAATTTGGAAAGGCTGCTTTGAGAGCACTTGGTTTGTTTTTTTTTTAATTTCTATTTTTAAAGTGGTTGCACTGGAATAGGAAGTCAGTGCAGTTTTGTTAACATCATTTATTATTCCAGACCTTAGATGAAGTCTTACAGTATCTTATCTCCCAAGTCTGCACACTTTCCCCATATACTACAATGCTACCGAATTTGCAATATAACCCACTGCTTGCAGAAAGCTCTTCTCCAGGACCTTTCCTCTAAAGAAAGAAATGTTTTCAGCATCATATGACTGTCAAGACAGACTGAACTGCCTGCAAAAGCTAAGTGATCCTGGAGAAACGTTAGGTTTGATGATACAGTCATCTCAAGATATACTAAATCTGAAAAACAGCAAGAAAACATTAGAAGCAAACCAAAATGCAGAGGCTCTGACATACAGTGCAGATTCTGCTTAGCCCAGACTAGTTTCCACTTTGTGTCCAGTTCCTTAATTTCTTTTTCCAGATTATTGAGCTGCACACAGCACTTGGAGGCCGTCCCCGAGAGGTGCTGTGCAACACGGTGCTCCTGTGTGGTTAGCGCTCAAGGCTGCCTTTTCTGAGCAGTGTCTGACCTCTGGCGGCCAAACTTACTCTTTGGGAACATGCCATCGATCCATCACTAAGTCAAATCCACCACGCCGTCACGGAACTTCGAACAGTTTTAGGAGTAACAGTGGAAGCTACACCTCTACCAAGAGTAAAACACCACCTTACCTTTAATTTATCCCTCAGAGATGAAACCTGGTATTCCAGTTTCTCAAGTTGGGCTTGCCTCACTTCATGTAATTTCAGCAAATTTAACACTTCTTCGAGAGTCTTATCGATTGACTTTGTACATCCATCTAGTTTTAGGTCATTTGCAGCGTTCAAGCTTTTCTGGCTAAAGTCTTCTTGCTCTGTCAGACGGCGACTTCTGGTCTGGTTGAAAGAATCTCTACTACCTTTGTGACGATTCAGAAAACTAGATGGGTTATTTGGAAATCCATCCACACATGGAGTCTTCTTCAGGATATCTAGAGTTGTATGATTTGGAAGAGGATGCTGTCTCTCTTCTGCACAAGTCTCTTGAATAATCACCAATGGCAATGTCCTATGGTCTGGAGCTGGAGTTGTATTTCTGGATTCTGTCCCTTTCTGATCCTCAGAACTGAACGAGTCTGCCTCGCTTGTCTCTGCAGGGTTGTGAGGCTTTTTCCTCCCATGTACATCAAAATCACAGGCAGCCAAGTAGCTCAATATGCTGGGAGGCTGAGCTTCATCACCTACATCCCCTTGGTTCTGCCTTTGCTGTAAAAGAGACTGCAGTAAACAGATTCATAAGTGAGCACATATACAATTGAAAAGCATAAGATGCTGCGTAAGGTGGAGAACTGTGGTTTCCTGTTCTTATAAACGTACGCACCCAAACTGATGATAACCACAGGGCTCCTCTGCACAAGGGAGCCAGGCCAGCATAGACGAGACAAAAGGAACTATTGAAACAAAGGACTAAGGGCCTCCTGGATGAGCTAAGTGGAGCAGTAGTGACTGTGCTTTTAGATCTTTCAGGCAAAAGTTACAGAGGTAGCTAAAAAATTATTTCTGGAAAAAGAATCTTGTCAAGCACCTTTCCTGTCACATCAGCCTAGGACAGGATGTGAATGTACTGGTTAGAGGAAATGTTCATTTTCAAGAGTCCAACATACCCTCTATAAATAATAAACCTTTCTGAAGAAGACTGCATATTCTGCTGCCTTGGCGAGGCAACCCCAAACCTGACTCAGACTTGATGCTGGGGCACATATATATGATGTTATCAGTACTTGGAGATGTATGGCAGAATTAACAGGATCATATAAAACAACCATGAAAACAGAACCCTCTTAAACGAATGAGGAGGAGGACAGGGTTTTCTGTTTTCGTGGGTTACACGTGGCAAAACGTGGGGTCGAGGAAGAGGAAGGCTTATTTCACAGAGCACCTCTAAGACTCCATTCTGCTCCATGGCTACTGAGACAGATTGGTTCCTAGCTTGATTCCCACTATAGACTATTTGAGCAGATGCCCACACCCCTACCATTCTGTCTGCCGAGAGGAATATTTGGCAGGGTTGTTTTGGGTTTTTTTCCTTTTACAAAATCTAAAATGGAACTCTAAAGAATAGGGGTTAAAAAAAAAATAAAGCCACAAAATAAACTGCAAAGGCCCTGGAGTGCTACATTTTCACATTTCTGAATGTGTTCTTCAATAGCCTAATCTAATCCAAAAATTGAGTCCTAGGTCTGTGCTTTGCATTTTGCTTTCCTCGACATACTTACCAGGTAGTATTTCTCTCTGAAACTGGGAGTATTTGGTGGGGTCCAGTTGTACAACGAGCTCTTCCTGCTACCCACAGAAAACTTGGCAGCGGTTCCAGGTGACAAAAACAGGTTCTCTGTGTCAAAGGGGCTGTAGCAGAAGACACAAAGGCCTAGGTGTCAGTAAGACCAGAAAGCACTGAAATGTTTAGCAGCAGGAACAGCCACTAGGGTGACATTTAGTAAACAACACAGAATAAAACGAAAGAGAGACTGCCTCTCTGATCAATGTCTTTGATGGCACCGCAGAGAGAGAGGTAGGCAAACAGGTTGCATATTTTACACAGAATTCTCAACACCCTTTAGACAGGGGCCTGTGCCGCAGTCTTTGGAAGAAGAGACCAGCAGGCCAAAAGTCTGAAATGCTCCCCGTCCTTCTGCAGCGTCCTACACAGACACTGTGCTGGCAAGCACCGAATAGGCTGCTTGCTGACAGCCACTGGGCAGCTAGCAGGACACGCACCATACCAGATAGGAAGGAAGTATAACACAAGTAATAAGGGAAAACTGTCATTAATTTCCCTCCTGCAGAGTACACACCACCTGGAAAAGCCACTAAAAAAACCTTCATTATCCTTCAAATATTAACAAACAACTCCTTTGGCTGGCAGAGGAAGTTTGTGCAGTGGTATACGGCAAGTTATGTGGTTCATACAGTCATGGATGAGTCCAGTTATAGCCCCAGAGGACACTGGCTATGGTCTACAAGAGTTTGTCAAGCCCTGCTCTAAAGACTTCCTAAGGACCTACTACATCACAGCCATTAATTTCCCAACTCCTTTACAAAGCAGCCTAAGGAAACTTGGACGAACTGTCTACCAAAGTGCAACTCAGCTAACCAGGAGACAGAAAACATATTTAAAATTAAGTAAAGCAAGCTTGTTTTTTCTGCATGTTACTTTTGTTCCCCACTGATACACCTTGTGGCACCAAAAGAAAGTTTGTTTTTCCACTTAAGCATTGGCGTTTTGATAAAAGTGAATTGTTTATAACAAGTATGTGATCTCATAGATATGAATATAACAACCAAACAGTAGGATAAAGTCAGCTGCATTTAGCTGTACAGTATAGAACCCCTAGAAGTCTGAAAAGATCCAAACAGTATTTAGGACTAAGCACTTACAGGGAAATTATGTTCTGCTCTCTGGCAAAAGTTAAAAACCAGAGCTCCAATTCTCTCTAGATTCTCATGTTGCACAGGAATTCTCAACAGCATCCTGCAGCGCAACACACCACTGTCTTCCTCAGCATGGCTGTAACACTCTGTGAGCTCGCCTAATACAGGTTAATTGGCTAAATTAACCAGTGGCACCCAGCTGGGGTTCATCAAACAGGCCAATTCCATGGAGTCACATGAACAACGATCTGCATTGTCTCACTATTGGAAAAAATATATCAGGTTTCTGACAGTAAGGGCCTTTTAGCCAAAGCCTGCTATGTTTACTGATGGAAGCAAATTACTCCCATCCATGGCATTTCTTAAGAAAAGTCGCAGGGATCCATTCCTCAGATTTTTCATTTTTAGCTTTTAATATAGCAATGCAGTAATGCAAAATGACACTTTGGAGGAAAGGGACAGGAATAACAAGCTAAATCTGTTTGGCCTCTTTGACAATTACTAAAACCCTCTAGCAAAACACAGCAATTCAGCTGCCCTCCAAACAAGCAGACGCTCCCTGTCACTGCACGATAACAAGTTAAAAGAGGACAGCAAAGCAAAGGGTGAAGGAAAGAATGAAGTCTGCTCTAAAGCATGTATTATCTCTTGATTGTAAGCTCTTTGCGCATGATCTGTCATCTTGTTCCACATTCGTACAGCAAACAAAACATCATACTGCGACAGATCTATGAACTCATCTCTCCAGCACCTTGACATTGACAGAAGCCAGTAGAGGGTATTCAGGGAAAAGCCTAAGAAATAAGTAAAATATAACAGGTTTTGCCTAGTCACATGTTCAAATTTGAGGCAATCCATAGCTTACATCTGTCATGCACCAGACACTGCAAGAAGACTATTGCCTTTAATTGTCACATGCTTTTCCTTAGTTTGTCTAGTCACTTCCTAAAATAATAGACACAAAATTCCCGTGTAGGTCAAAAGTATGCAGAAGTTTCGTTATTTAACTTTACATTGTGGAACAAGTACCTTGACTTGAGGCAGGGGGGTTGTCTCTGTGGCTGTACCAAGAGAAACGGTGGCTAATCATTTCCTCTCCACATTCCCCACAGCAAATGTCTATAAGCCTGCACACTATTATCCATCAACACCTTTTCAAGACTGAAAAATTCTATTAAAAAAAATAGAAGTGGCCCCACTTCTCTGAACATCTTTGTTGTCTCCATTCTATCTCTATATTGCCAAACAAGTTGGCCTTCGGTTGTGACTAATTACAATTTTGGCATTAAATGCACAACACTACCATGCCATCATTAAGGCCAATGTAAACGTGGCACATCGCTCTCCTTTAGCTTGCCTGAGCACCGTTGCAGGACTTCAGTGTTCAGGTCCAAAACACACATGCCCAGCCTGACCTTGAGGGGGTTTATAATTCATCAGAGCTCATGTTTCCTAGGTTGAACGTCCCATGACATCAGAAGCTTCTCATCCACACACATTCAGAGATGCCTCAGCCTTGACAGCACTAAGTGTGGATTCTCAGCAAGATATTATTTTGTCATAACCACCAAACCCGTGGAGGGATGAAATACTTGAGATTTCTACCATTTTCCTCACCCTGCTGCATTTTTCTGTTGGGTGTGTAAGGAGGACACTTCCTGGTTTATGTCCTCAGAGAAGCATAAGTGATCAGGCAGAGCACGTAAGAGTTGAACTCAATTCAGTCTTCAGCCCCAGAGGATCTGCATCCCTTTCTCCCACTGCCAATACTGTGCCCTAATTACTCCCCTTCTGTCTAGTCGCTCCATGTATTAAATACCACCAGGCCAGAAGGGCTCTTGGTGGATAGACCTGTCTGAATCCCACTACTAAGCCTGTGAATCCAGAGTTGCATTAACACAAAAAAAAAACCCCAATTCTGGTCAGCTGGATTGGACTCACTGTTAATCATAAGATTTCCTTTGTTTCCCCTATTGAACACAGGTGAAGATGCCCATGCAATTTTAAGTGTGATTGTTGTCAGGTTTCTCCTACCCACTGAAGCATAATAAGCACCAGTTCCAAGCTTAGTACAGCTTATCACAAGACTAAGCTACGAAACATCACTTCCACCAAAAGCATAGCGATGCATTGATGGACTACCGCCTAAAGCTACCTGCATGAGTAACTACCTATTCACGTAAGTTTTCATTTGCAAGAGCAGGCCTGTCAATAGGTATGTATCAAAAAAAAAACAAACAGAGGCTTCCCTTTTTTATTGTCCGTTAAGGTTTTTTTTCTCCTACTCCACGAACCCTGGCGAGCCAGGCCAGCACATGCTCAAAGCAGGCAGAAATTACAAGAGTGGTTCTGGCTGGCTGGTACCCTTAGATCCCCGTACGGGGTGCTAACTGAAGTTCTCAAAAGAGAATACAGGCTTTCTCTTTGTCCTTCATGTGAGACAGAATTCAAACTGCTGTTTAGGTTGGCAAAAAAACCAAAGTCTTCTGCCAAACTGGCCAACAAAGCCATTCTGCGACAGGCCCAAGCTCATTCACACTCCTCATGGCATAATCTATAAAGGCAGTGAAGGAACTTTTGTTAAGAGTCCAGAAGACTAGTGGCCCGTTTAAAGAAAATATACATTTAGAAGTGGAAGAGTGATCTACATTTGGATTTTGCACAAAGCAGATCTAGATTGAAAGCTTGCCTCTCGGGGAAGTTTGGGCAAATCAGCTACATTTGTTTAGTTATCCTTAAATCAAAGAAAAAAGCAGCTGTTGAGTGCTCTATCCTTGAAAATAGAAAGACCCCGAGTTATCACCACACAACTTCTCTTTTCTGTAAACAACTTCAGTAAACAGGCTGTCAGAGGATGAGCCTGCTAGTTCTGTGCAGAAGTGCTCTGAAGAATCCACTTGGTAGGATACCAGCGCATTTCACAAAACTTAAAGACAGCAAAGACACACAGCTGGAGTTTTCTCATACACTGAAAAATTCCAAATGGGGATTAACTCCCAAAGAAAATGCATCACTGTCAACCCTGCTCCCCTGTTGCCACCTCTAAAAGCTGGGTGGTGGTTGTCCCAAATGCCATAGAAGTTCTCCTCTTGCCAGTCAAAAGCCGCACTCCAAGCTGTGAGCTACTGCAATAATCAAGCATCAACATAATTTGAATTGTATTTTTCTAGAAAATTTAATCACAAATATAATTTGCATTGGAGATTTAGGCTATTATCTGAGAAACTATGCAATATCCCGGAATAGGAAGGTGTTTTCCTCATATAGTCCTTTTGGAAGAACAAGTTATGCGCATAATTATTTATGCAAGTTATTGACAGTGAGGAAAGGCAAACAAGTAGATCCAGCAAAAGTAAATGAAGTGAATCTGTTAGATCCATTTGTGTGGGTTAATAAGAGAGTAGAAGTGATTTCTTCCAGACTCCACTATGAACGTGTCATCTCTCAATATAGCACTTCCCATATTAGGGCAAAAACAGATTTTATACCCACTTCAGTAAAGAAAGTATGTCTCCTTCACTGCACAAGCGAAGCTTCTTAAAATGTTAGGCTTGAAGTCAGGGAAAAGGGAATTCCCTTATAAGAAAAGCATCTCCACGAGCAGAGTTCTGCCTCCAGTCCTTTCTGCTCTGAAACTGCGTCTAGAGCTTTTGACCATTTTACATCCAGATTAAAGCCAATGCAAGTTCTGGCAGCGTGTGTTGCAGGGTGAGAGATGACAAATAAAGGCATCGGACTTTGCTGGGGATCTGTAAGAGTTCATATATCCTTCTACTCCCCTCTTCTCTCCTTCCTTCCCCAATACTAAGGCAAGCATGTCAAAACAATAGAATATTTCAATTGGCCTTCACTTAAAAGGACTGTCATTTTAAGAGCTACTTTTAAAAAAATATATACAATGCAACTTGCACTATCCCCACAGTCTTCAATAACTGCCATGAATGTCTCTGCTTTCAGATTCAAATGGGAATACATACATAACTAGGCACGAGTAAGAGGAAGTTTCATAGGGCATATAATGCAAGATCACAGCCAGCTTGTGGAATGAGGCTTTGTTACGCAACTAATTAGTGGCTCAGCTTCTCAAATAAGAAACAGAGGCCTCAAAATTCTCAGAGCAACTGCAGCACCTCACCAAAACAAAACATATACTGATGCCCATTGTTAGACCTCAGGAGGAAAAAGTGTCATAAACAGGTGCGGGCAAAACTCTGCTGTGTGAGCTTATTTCTCATTGACTTGGAGCAATGTGTGTGTTTGAAAATACTTTTCAGATGCTGTTGCCAAGACCCATGTTTTGGCCCAACTGCATGTACAATGCAACACTAAATTTCAAGAACCACAGCATACACAAAAGACATTCAGAAAATAGCATGTTGATCAATAAAGCTTTTCTTTCCCCAATCCCAGAAATGCAACCTGAAAACTGTTTATCAACACTTGAATAGGAACTGCAACAGAAAACCTCTGTGGCATTTCTCCTGTTGGTGGCTTAAAAGGCTGTGGCAAGGTTGAAGTCAAACAATGCTTCCAAAGGTAATTAAAAGTATAAACAGAGTATTAAGACCTGAAAAAGCAAGTCTGATCGTAAAATTCATTTGGTTACTTTACCCTAAGGGCAGGGAAACTTCTCTTTTACTGAAAGATCTGTTTGGCTCTTGGGCACATTTGGCAGACCACACATTCACCGCATACAAGCGTTTTTTATTTTGGGTTAATTTTAAAGAAAATAAGACACCAGCATGGTCAGAGATGAAGAGTTGTATAAGGCTGAGTTATAGGTGAGTCTGGCCTGCAAGGCACAGCTCCCTGCCCTTCCTGATCTAAACATTGTTCAGCTTCTGTTTTTCCTGGAGAGAGCCTAGATCTACAAGTCATCACAGAGTGGCCTTTCAAGAAGGTTCTTATCATGGAGGTGAGTTCAAATGCTTCTTTGCCATGTTGGGGTGGGAAGAACCGAGGACTGCAGTAAGCCATATACAAAAGTACAAGTGAAGAGTGCCTGTTGTTTAACTGGGCACTTCACTAAGATGGCTAGATTTAACCCCTGGACAGTAGTAAATGGAAACAGGTTTAAAAGTTTTGATTTGTTGCAGGCAAAACTCTCAGTATGGACCAACAGTCCCATATAGCAGAAATAACAGTACTATCTCAAAAATCTATGGTGGTATGTCTAGAGTGAGGAAGAAGTTCCAGCGCAGCATCCACAAAAGTGAGTATTTGCTTTTAATAACATTAGTAATCCACTACAAAAAAAAAAATCAATTAACAAATATTAAATATAAAACAATTTAACAAATCACAAGCACCATGAATATACTCAGTTATTTTAAAAGTGCTTCCCTGTAGTGCACAAACAGGCCTTCTATAGATACCTGTAATCATAGTGCAAATACGAAGGTGCTAAGTCTTTGGGAAAGCTTCATTTTTAACAAACTGTGGCCTGGTAATTGTCCTAAAATTTCAACTATATATTTTTTCATTGTGCCTAGAAACTGCTGTTTTCAGTTTCATTTCATTATCTTTAAGATTATTGTTCATGCTTTGTAGATGTAAATACATTGCTTGGAGCTAGACTTGAATAGTCATTCTGAAGAGTAGTAAGCTAAGTAAGAGCCCACTAGTCAGTTCATGCTGCTAGCCATGGCTCTGGTAACATTAACACAAAGAACTGAAGGGTCACAGAAATAGCTTCTGCCCCTTTCCCCCACCCCTTCCTGAGGACTGGTCCCACAGAGTCAGAGATCAGGCACAGTAGCTGGGGTTGTTGTGAGGAAGCATGTGGCTGCTATCTATCCTGCACCTGCTCTGCAAATAGAAAGAGGACTATGACATCGAATGCTACTAAGTGATATACTTAGGAGCCTTTAATTTATTTCAAACGTTTAGCTCCAGCTTTTTTCATCTGAAGCTGTACTTACTTCCAGAGGACCTCCAACTGTAGCTTGATGGTGCCCAGTTCAGTTATATCCACAATAATTGCCTGAGGCTTGGTTGTAAAGAAGTTTATGCTGTCGCATGTCACGACACCAACTAGAATAGTGGCCAGTCCTCGCAGCTCTGTCACCTGCAGGGACAAACATATCCATTTTCATCTTACCAGACAATCCTAAGTCATGTGCCTGGCAAGGAGAACACCCCAAGCTCAGGTCTGCTCCGAGACCCACAAACTTTGATACTCAATTCTGGGTTCCTAAGTTGTTGTAAGCCAATATCCCCACATGGAATATACCATGGATGGCTAGCAAAGAGAAAAGGAGTTCTGTGAGTTGGGGAGGGACAGAGCTGTACGGCACTTCTGACAACAGAATTTGGTGGACTATGATTTTAAGAAAAATTAGTGTGAAATTTGGAAATTCTAGCTCTGGTACGCATACAAGTAGTTGTCATTTATTGTACAGAGTCTAGCTTGTCTACATATTAGAACAACACTGTTATAAAAATATGTATTACAGAGAAGTATGTTAGCCTACCTACACTAGACTCTTTCAGCTCTCAGTTGCCTAAAGGATCTGGAAGCACAACTGTCTGTATCCACTGTGACCTTTCTTACTGTCCTGCACTCAGCTGTGGACTAAAATCAGAACTTGTAAGTGCCAGTTCTTTCCTCTAGCTCTGCAGGTGGCTCCAAGTTTGTTATCAATGCAGTTACAGGCCTGTGTTTGAACCAGGCTGGCACTTTGCTTCTTCAGCTACTTAAAAAAAAAAAAATCTAATCAAGTCCTTGCTATAAAAACATACTTCCAATTGAAGATCAAATTGTTCTAGAAGTGCATAAAGCATCAGTTTAGCACAAGTGCTTAAAGTCTGCTTCAGGAATTAGTTAGATGCCTACATCTCCTTTAAGAGCTAGCAAAAGTTATGTTGCTAGGCTCTTCTTGGAACACTCTTTGGCACTTCTCAATTTATTTTTTTTAAACCTGCTATGTATTTGTACTGGGCAAAGTACAAAGTGGAAAGAGGGTGTGGAGAACATTAGTCAGTAGACTTTCATAAACTGACAGAAAGAGTAAAACTACCATTGTCATACAAAGCAATATAAATTTTTGCAACTATTAGGGGAAAAAAGGGATCTGAATTAGCATCTCACCTGATCTTCATTGTGCAGTGGCAGCAAAAAAAAAAAAGTATTATAAGCACATTTTCAAAGGCTGTGCTGGCAAGATGCCAAAGAGCCTCTCTACGTAACCCAGCTCTTGCTGCCAGCCAGGAGGGGAACATTGCAGTAATTGCTTTAAGACAGCTGCCAAAACTTGAAACCCTGCACTGGCACAGTTTCCTAGTAGAATAGGATCCAGCACAGCCTTCGATCTCAGCTCCTTTTAGGCTGACAGCAGTCATGCTGCAGAGTCCAGCCCACAAAAGATGCCAGACTACAGTGGAAATGCTGTTTAAGGATTAACCCCACCTGCTAGGTAAGTGGCAGAACCAATGCCAGTGGCAGCTGCACAAGGGACAGTGAAGACTACAAACTTCCCCCAAGGGGTACCCACAATGTGTCATCTACACGTCACAGGCCACTAGCACTGGTCCCTTAAAGTTAAACATAGGGTCTCTTCCAAGGCACTTAAAAAAAAAAAGGCAGAACTCTAAATAAATACAGACAGTTTGTACCAGGATATAAATGCCATTGGTTTATCGCAGATATGGAGCATCTCTGGAGTAAAACACGACAAAAAAATCTGCAGTGCACCCAGATAAAGGGACATTTGAACTACACATTCAAAACATACACATGTGCAATAATATGTTTTCCATACGCCTACTTCTCTCTTTCAATAGAGAACAGAACTCCAGGTACTTAATATTCCACATGGGTAATATAAATAATATATACATACACATCTTTTTGTCTCCACATCTAGAATTTACCCTAGAAAATCCCAGATATTGATCTAGGATTTTTTTAAAAAACAAACAAAAAACCCCAAAACAACCACATACACCAGACTCCAGAACATGGGAAAGCAGATGCACTAAATACAGTATGACTGCCAGGAGCAAAGGAAAAACAGAAGTAGATGTCTGTCAGTAGGCAGAATACTGATTAACTGCCATTTTTACATGGCTAGGAAAAAGAAAACTACTTGAATATTTTGACAAACACTTGGTAGCTTAACAAGTAAGCAGTATGGCAGAAGTTCTGTTAACCCACTGATTCCAATCCAACCATTATACACCACACCTTGATTTCAAACTTCTCATGGAGATTCGGTATAAAAATCTTTTCTTCCTCATCCCACGTTTGGCTGTCATCACTCTCAATCTTGCCTTTCAACCTCCATTTTTGGCGCCCCAGTCGCACAAACACCTAAAAACCACCAAAAAAAAAGGATGTTGGGTCAACATATCCCAGAATGTTCCCTTCAGTCCATAGACCTCACACTGTTCAGTAGTGCAGAGGCAAAGCCATTCCTTTGATGACAATACATTTAGAAACTTGGATAAAGCTACAAGATTGGAGGCAGGAATTCAGGTTGGAGGTTTTAACATCTTAACTCAGTATCAAATGACACATCCCATCCATTCTCGAAGAACTGCAAAACTACGTTGTATAGCAACTGTAGTGGTACTGAAATACGAGGCACACTGGAATTAATTTGGAACTGTTAGAAGTAGGACAGCAACCTTGTAAGATGCCAAGATGCATTCAAATCATGCCAAGGGCAATCTTCCAAGAAACAGGCAGCAACTGATACTTGATTCCAGGGCAACTTTGAAGACAAAGACCTGACATGTTGGTTTTGATAGCCAATCACTGCCATGTTTTAAACCCTCCCATGACACTTTAATCACATCTTTCCCTCTTCAGTCTTGGAGGGCAGAGTAACTAGTGAATGTGCCAAAGCACTGTTCTCATCAGAACAGTGCACAGTTCTATCATAGGCTGTTTCCCACTTGTCTTCTACATGTGGCACCCTTGCTCTCCTGGTCCTCTACTGCAAACTCACAGCAGTAAAACAAAGGACAAAATGAATTGCTGTATACTGTACCTCATACTGGTCCCCTGGACAGAGACGTGCAAAGCCCACCAACCCTGAAAAGAGAATGAAAACTCCTAATAGTTGTAAAGTTTTACAATGTCCCCCAAAGCCTCAGCTTGCAATAAATAAAGTGACTATCTAGCTAACAACCCTTTGTGCTCAACTCTGTGCGGAAGGTATGCCACCAGCCCAAAACACTCTTACAAGGACAGACTCGAATTGAACTGAGGAAAGCTTGTCAGCTTTTGTACTCATATATAAAATACCATTGCAGATCTGTTTTATAGCACTGAAGCAAACAGAAGTTTGCCAAAATTCTGTTCAGGGTCTCATCCAGAAAGACAGTGGAACCAACTGACATTGAATAAATAAATCTGATCCACTCCCAATGGATCAGATTGCTACATAGGAAACCCAAAATCAGCTGGTGAGTCTTGAAGGAAACAAGCAAAGAACATACCTTTCATCTTCAAGTGAAACTCTCCCAAATGGACCTCCAGTGCCCCTTCTATAAAGCACATGTCCTAGAAGAAAGACCGAACAATCACTGTGATTGAAAAGCAGCACAGAGTAGCTACCTTCCCTTACATGCCATTTTATTTAAAGGACTTTGGCTCTTGTTGTTTGTGGGTTTTTTGTTTTTGTTTTTTATGGGACACACACTAACATTTTCCCTAGGGGAGGCTGATACAGAGTCCATTCATACTACTTTTAAGACAGAAAATTGTGATGAAATTCCACAGAAGAGTGGAGCTGCTTGAGCACTTCACTGTCAGCTACCTTCCACTGCTTGTTTTGTAAAACTAGCATCGCTTATTCATTATTCAATTCTCATCCCATTACTACCTGTAGAAGTTATAACGGACCCCAGTATTAAAGCAGAAATGCAAAGGATTTTTCACTTGCCTTCATGAATGCATGAGACCAAGTTGAGTAGGGCATAGAATTCAAGAGCTTTGCCTGTAAGGTATTTATCTCACAAGCTTCAGTTCACATTATGTACCTGTATTTCATTTACAGGTTAAGTTGTTAACCCGTAGCATTAAAACACAAACAAACAAAAAAACCAACAAACCAAACCAGCAGCAAGTCCTGATACATTTTTTTGCTAAGGGACAGTCAGGTCTTCATTATATGTGTACAATATTTCCTACCTCTGTGCACTCTTGTACGTTCTTGTAAAGCTCCACTAGGCTCTCTCGGGAGGCTTTGGTAGAAGGAGACAAGGAAAAGGCATGTTTCATGTTAGCAGCCCCATCTCGTAGTCTGCACTGGATACAGTAAGCTTCATAGAGTTCTTCTACCTTTAAGATTTGGGAGGTGGGGGAAGAATGAACAAGAATTACCCTGGCATAGTTTTAATAAGTTTTGGAAAGAAACATCAGCAGTCTTTCCTGGCAAAAAAACAAACCCCAATCAAATCCCACTATCATAGTGTTGCAGAATGCCGCAACTCCTGCAATTTATAGGCTGATTAGAGTGCAACAGTTTGTAGACATTCCTGCAAGAAAGAATGGGATATTGAGAAACAATTCACTCTGCTATTCTCAGACTAGAAGACAAGGAGTAGACTATAACTTTGTTCAGGGAAAAATCACTTGGGGAGCAGGAAATTTATTCCCTCAATAGAGATTAAAACACCTACACCTTCAGCTTTGTCAGAGAAGAGATTTCATTTCTTTGAAAGCAGATGGCAGGCAGCAGACATGCATCTACAGAACTGCCCATTTGGCCCCTTGTGGGAAGGAAGGGGGAGGACACTTAAGTCTTCCCACAGCAGAATTTTCTGAATAAACTGGCAGAGTATGCAAACTGGTTTCACAGGCAAACTTAGATTGGGTTGCGCCCAACATTCAGCCTGAATAGAACCATTCAAGAAAATAAATAAATAAATAAAAACCCCCTCCTGTAAAGAGAGTGATTACAGCTTTCAGAAAGTACCCAGCATTATTCCCCTTCAGATGAATTATAATCAAAGTATTTTCTATTTAGATAGTTTGCTTATTTAGCAGTGTAAGCCTTACACATACAAAATATAAAACTCCTTACCTTGCTTATGTGAAACTCCAGTTTTCTGATGTATCTCTCCACAGAGCGGATTTGCTTTTGAAGAGGAGAAAGACAGGGGGGGCACTTGAGAAATTATTTCCTAAACATGCCTTTAAGTAAGACAGTAGACATATCGTCAATTTTTCTCTATTTGCAACATTTCCTCTCATCCTCACAGCTCTTACCTTATCCAGGTCATAGTAGAAAGCCTAAAAGAGAAATAGCACAGGCTGAACAGCAGAGCATGTATTTGTACACATTAACAATACTTTCATATTTACTGCAAGACTCACTAGGCATATCTTAAGTCACACTAAATTAAGATGCACTGTTTACTACAAGGAGACAGTCCAACATTTTTAGAAATAGTTTCATTTTCTGTGCATGGCTGGTTGGTTTGTTTTCACAGATGCTTGAACTAAGACAGTAAAAGTCTCACCACCAGCTATAAAAAGGACTTGGACATTGGTCGTAGTACGTGGAAGCTTCTGATTTTAATTTTTTTTTTTAGTCTAGTTATTATTTCCCAAATGAAAGTCAAAGTTGTATCTGTGAGTTGTCTTTTCATTAGCACTGTTGCTGAAGGTACTTCTAGGGAGTTGTGAACACAATAGAATCTAGGTTACAAGAACACATTCACCAACTATGGAAAACAAAGCCCAGTCTTTACCACCATTTCTGTCCAGTCAGGTACGAACACTGATTGCTAAACAGACACAAGGAGATACCATCCCAGTAAAGGAACACTATCTGAAGAACACTACTGGATATTGAAAATGAGAAATCCCAACTTTAATTCTCAGATCTAGAGCTAACTTGCTTGGTAAATTTCTGATTGCGATCACTTTCTGGATACCACCTCAGTGCCTTAACTGGAAAACCCTGAGAGACCCAGATGTTACAGTGCATCTACTTTGTGGCTTTAGAAACAAAGTGATTTAAGCATTTAACATTAAAAGCATTTTACCAATCTGGAGTTCCTTTTTGTATCTTTGTGTCTACCAGAGAGATAATCCAATTCAGCCTGATGTGCTTCCAAGTATTCACTGGAGAGGAAGAAAACTCAGTGTTACATTCTTATGATACATTCATTATAACACCTCCCCAAAGAATTTTTCATCAGAATGTTACAAAGCAACTTCCTTCTCTAGAAGGCTTCTCTTATTTTACTCTGAAGAGATGTGAATGGCTTCACAGAGGTACATGGGTCAACAGATGAGAAAGGGTGGTTTCCATAGACAAATATTTGTCCTAAATGCAAAGTCACTCCTAGAGGAGCCTCCGTACACGATAAGCACCAGAACATGCTGGTTACTGTTACCTAACATTTAAAGATGCTGCACATTAGGAATCCTCCTGAACCCTTTTTACCCCTCCAAGACGTGGAGTGGTACAGTGCAATTCAAGAAGGCCACCACTGTGGCATAAGGTAGGTACATATACACTTGCACACACTGCACTCAGACATTTGCTATTTCTTGTTTCCCTTCATCTGAAATAGATCATTCAAGTGAAAGATAGGCTTTTACGGGAATGTGAGGCAAAACAAAACAAGGCAGCAGAGCTGGAAGCACTAATAAAGGCAAGAGGAAAGGAGGTATGTAGGAGAACAGCAAGTTATAACACACACATAACCGAACTCACAGATCTCCTTTTCAGATTTCTCTATTCCTGTTTGGCATTCTGAAACCTTTTCTGTATGGTAGAAGATCAGCTCATTTGTCGAGCAAGTCTCTTCTTACAGTTACTGAGGACTAAGAATTCAACCAGCTCCATCTTATAAAGTCAAAGAATTGCAACATGAAACACTTGCACTACAAAACCAAGCTCATAGTACTTCATTCAGTGTTTTAGCAAACAGAGCTGAATACCACCTTTTAGTATGCTAGACAATTTCTTAATGTAGCCATTACTTTTTCCAGAATGGGAACTATTTCGCAAGGTGTGAAGCCCTTGGTGCCATTTGCCTTCTATAGAGTTGGTTGCATGCAAGGGTTGTCCCTTAAGAGTTCCCCCAGGGCCTTAAAGTATTTCTGTTGAGACCATTTTCTTCCAACTTTGCTTTTAATACAGAGCAGACTTAGTTAACTTGTTCCTCTTATGGTTAAAAGGGATCAAGAGTCACCTGGTAAATACTACATTATAAGAGACAGTCTCTGAGCAGTCAAAATAACTTCTTTTTAGACAGCTGCACTTCTTCACATCTGCTTTGATGTATTTAATTTTCTTAGTATTACAAAACCAGTTCCTCCAAGACACCCAGTGGCTCCAGCATTCATCTGTCTGCTCTTTACACCTGCCTATTAACAGCTCAGTACAGAAGTAGCCAAGGCCAGTGGCAGAAAAGAATTCACTTTCCTTTTAGAAGGACTTCACCACTTTTAGTCTTAAGCATGTTAGAATTGCCAGCTTGGTGGAATGGTACCCAGATGGTTAACAGAATAAAGTTATTTGCTACAGCTATAAAGAAACAGGCACGTAAAACATGTTCTGTACTAAAAATTCAAGTCACTCCAGCACCAAGTAGACTTAGTCTGCATCTACTTAAAATTTGGACTTTGCATTGCTATTTGATACAGTTGTTTTCTGTAGGCTACTTTAGTCAATTAGTTAGCTACTCAGTTTTGGCAGGAGTCTGATCACATGGCATTCCCTGCAGAACTGGGAACAAATTCTGATCCACTTTATGGTTTCTCCTCCCTAAGCTCTGATAAATTTTAAACTCTGCAAAAACATTTGGTTTCATTATTTGTTTTAAATCTAAATCCACTAATAAGACATTGACTGATATTTTTAGGGCTAAGGCTTTATAGTCTTTTATTGGAGTAAAAATGTGACACATCTGAGTTTACAGTGTATTATTACAGTGCTTTTCATGTTCTTTGCTTAAGAAAACAAACTACGATCAGAATTAATACAGTGGCAAAATTCTGAGGACAGCAGCAACATACGTGAAGGAACTGTTAGTAGGATGCCAGCAGAAAGACTTACGGGGTTTACAAATCGAAGGAAAAGTATTTTCTCTTCCAAAAGTAGCTTCAGGGTTTAAATGAAGTTCCTATGATATTAGGCTAGACCCATCAACATCAACTGCAATAATTTAAGATGTGTATTTTTATATAAAAAGATTTGAGAACTCAGTTAAAGGTTGATTAGTTTCGATCACTGATGAAGGCAAACTTACCACCACTTCCTTTGTCCTCTATACTACCAAGAAAGTCAGCTCATCCATGTTTAGTTTGCCATTTCAGCATTGAGTAGTATCAGTGTTTCTATGAGCTGACAGCTTCCTCAAAAGCCAGAACACCATAAATTCAGATTGCCAGCCCATCCTTTGATCTCTTATTACGTCTGCTGCATACACCCCACATCTGCTAGATGGAAACAATGGACCAAAGTGGTCTTTAGCCTTTTCACTCAAGTCTGTACTGATGCAACATCGACTATGCAGTCGACCATAATAAAGACTCTGAAATAGTGCTACGTTTAAAGCAAGATAATATTATTTACATTGCCATAAGAAGATAAGAGTTATACTACAGATCTGTTTCATCACCTCAAGTCAGCAGAATTTTCAGGTGGATCTGCTTAGACCTTTCCCTTACAAGTAGCCACCCAGAGATGAAAGAAGACTTTTAAACTCCAGAGTTTAATTCTATTAAAATGAAACAACAACAACAAAAACCAAACAAATCTCACTAGAGTATCTAACTCTTTACTTTAAGTGTTCTCTAATTAGCATAGAGAGAATAGAAATGGTTTATGAACCAGCCTCCCCACTGTGGATTTGCAGGGCACACCCTCGCTTTCAGACTTGGTTTTAAGTCAGCCTTTTGAGTCAAAGCAAACTCCACACAGCTCCCTCCCCAGAAACCTTCTGACAATCACCCCCCAGGTCTGGCTGTCCCATCCCTATCCAAGTCTGTCCTTGATCTGCGGACTTCCTGCCTGCCACCCTGCACACTCTGACAGCCTTCCTTCCTCCAGGGAGCTTAGCTGCTCCCCAAGGGATGAAGAATCTCTCAGCAGAGTTCTACCTGTCGCTGACTTTAGAGAAGCATACAAACTAGGAATAAACAAAACTATCAGAGCGCTTTGTTTGCAAGCAGACTGTCTGAGAGTGAATGAAACTTGTTTTACAAGGTCCCAAGCCAGTGTCTGGGAAAGTCACTACACATGCTTAGAGATGCCAGGTGGAGACAGAGAACAGTGATACACAGACTTAAGCAGCATGACTAGGCAAGGCAAATTACAGTATTTTAAAAGTGCTTACTTAAGTCCTTTCTTCAAAGCTTCAAAAATTTTCTTCACCTGCAGTGGCTTTGGATCCCAGATGACTGCCCCCTTCTGCAGGGAATTATAAGCCTTGGGGGATTTCAGTGACATTCTTGATCTCACTGAACTTCTGCTGAGAGACTTTCTGTAGAAAGAGAAAAGAAATATGGGAAAGATGCAAAACCCATCACCTGGGAGAAGAGAGATGCCTCACCCACAACACTTCCATGCTACACGTTATATGTCCAATCCCATATTCCTTTACTCAAAAGAGCAAAGCTCTTGGACACACTGAGAATACTTCCACAGACAACATTAGAAAGTTAAGGCCCAGGACTAAATACCTAGTGCAGAAAAGCTGCAAATTTTTTGTGACTTCAACAATAAGAATTTCAATAAGAAACATCTCCTTCTCCAAGCCTGACACAGACTCCAAGAAGACTCATGGTTCTCTTTTATCCTTTTCAAATACAGAAAAATTGTGCAGGTCCCCATTTCTTTTGGAAGGGCAGGGGAGGAACTGAGCAAAAAAAGGAAAAGCTCATTTTTATAACAGGTTAATAACAAGTTAATGTTCATAGTGCTAGCAATTATCTTAACAGACATGCATGGCAGCTAGCTGAGGCCTTGCTTCTCTGTGCATATTCATATCAGTTGTTGGGTCAACTACAGAACTAGTCAAATAAGCCATGCTGCAGGACAAGGACATAATACAGGAAAACAAGGCAACAAACTTTTGATCTGCTTAAGGTCTAACTGATGAAACTAACATAAAAAGCCTTTAGAAATAGCTATTTCTTTGCCTGCATTCACCATCTATTTAAATGATCACTTACAGCCATACCACATTTCAGAAAAGCAAATGACCAAGCCCAGATTGCATACAAGATATTGTTATCAAAGTGTTTTTTTCAGTATCTAACATCTCTCTTAGTTGTTTTTAAAAGCAACTGCAAAAACAAAATTAAATATTGTTTCTAACAGAAGTTCTCCACACAGGATTTTTCTGTGCTAACCTAAAAAGTTAGAACACCACTAGCCATTAGTTATAGATCTATGACATTTAAACCAGAAAATAAACTCTCTGCAAATGGTTCTTTCACATTGTCGGATTTTCACCTGGCTTACCTCTATCTATATACTCCTCTAAGTCTTAGTTGTTTTTATATAGTTTTGTTAAAACTCCCCATAAGTCAAGCCTCTAAAATAACATTACCTAAAGAAGTTTCCTATTCCACCAAGTCAAACCAACTGGTTGCTTGCAGAGAAGCTTTCTGCCTTCTCTACAATCCCTGTCCTAAATGCAGCTCACCTGGAGAAATTATGAACTTCAATAGGCTTAACATTTAGCCACTGGCTGTTTTAAGTTCTAGGCATGTGACTGAAGGCTTAAAGAGATTATTGAGCTTGGTGATTACATCCTAGGCCCTGCACACCTGAGAGCTGTTCCCAGTCCTATTATAGAAACCTTTGAGTAATTCCTTTAATTATCCTGGTGCTAGATTTCCACTTAACTCCATTTTTTAACATAAAATCTGCAAAAAAATCTGATAAAATTGGGTGTTGCCAAACATTACTGGATATTTAGTTTCTTCACCCTAATGATTATCTTAGTTTTTTATGATGGTTTAATGTAAAGTATTAATTAACAAAACCATCTGGAGCTCAGGCTACTTATAATGAGGAACATAACTGTTAAATTAGAAACTTACATTAATATTGTTTTCTTTCTTCAGATAATTAATATTTCAGTATTCCATGCAAAGTGAGAGGGTTTCAACAGGAACTACACTGGAAGGGACAGTCTAGCCAATAACAGCAGTTGAAAGAGTCTCTTAGAAGGATCATCATTTAAAATTCTTTCATGCAAAGAAGGAAATAGCATCCAGTTCCATGCTTTAGATGAGTACTCTAATTAGCAAGATACCATAAGGAAGACAGAATTATCTCATATCTTTTGAAATTAAAAAGCCCAAATTACTCCTGGGTTTTGTTTATTTTTTGAAAGGACTTTGATATTTACCTTCAGAGTTTTGGACAGCAAATCCCAAATTCAGGAAATCATTTCCCTTCAGTTGAACGAATGCATTGCACTGCATACAAATAGGTTGGGATTTAAAACTCACTATTTTCCGCAATGTCTCCCACTGACTGATGCAGCCCATACTTACTCAGTGCACTGATATTAAGAATCCCATTTTCATACATTTCATAGAAAAGTTAAGTGGCTGACATGGGCCTTTAGGGACAGTAGCTAAAAGCTAGATGCTATGTTGCTGCTTTCCCTTGTGAACCTAATAATTTAAGTATCAGATTTCTCACTTTATAGATAACAGTAATAATATTTACTTCCTGTGGAGACCATTGTGAGGAAACATGAAATAGTGTGTCCGACTGAGAGCCTCAAAAGGAAGTTGCTAAAGAAATGCAAAAGTATATTTAGCATCTGCTTAAGAATCTCCATGTGGACCTGATTTGTGTGTCATCCTTTGGATAGACCTTGCATGTGGCCCCTGCAATCTCCTGCTGTGTTTTGCAACAGTGCCTGAGGGAGAGATAAGTTAGGAAAGGGTGATTAAAACATTTCTTCACTATGCTGGGGAAGGATCTTGGGTGTTCACTGGGCTGTGACTGAGTATCCAGTACACAAATTTTCCTTATTGTGGTGATTCCTGAACAAAACTGTCTGTCTAAACTCTTAAGTAATGAAAAGCAGCATCATAAAAAAATGCATAGAGAGAGGCATTTGGTTAGAAAACCTTTGCACCTAAAAGTAACAGAATAATCTGAAGAGATATATGACCTCTTCTGTTTGGAGCATTCTTACCCTGCGGGACTGTGCCTTTGTTGGAGAAACAGCTGTTCAACACTTTTCCTAGCAGATCTTTTCCCTGCTAGAACTCAGGTACCTGAGTTCAAGTCTGTTTACATAATTTATTGACAGTGTTTTTCTCAAGAACTTAGCAATATCTGATCTTTGCTAGGTGTAATACTAAAATAATTTTTCAGCTTCCACAACAAATTAATTTATTCAAATGTGAAGATTTCCTGATTACATCACAATCATGCTGGGATTTCATTTTTGCTCATTTTGCTTCATTTTTCTAACCATACTGTGTTTAACTAAAAGGTTAATTCAGTCATTTGGTTCTTTGAAAAGGTGTTTTATGACATGAGTCATGTATTTTACTGATACACAATAGGATTTTTTTGAGTACAATACTTCTAGAGGCATACTTTCCAATACTTCTATATGATACTGCTAAATTATTCACTTTGTTATTATTCTAGCATGCATTGGCAGTCAGGGATTATATTAATTTTCCATTTATATATCATATCTTCTAAAAGCACTCGACAGGCTATACAGGGATCACTAAATTCAGAGAAAGAACAAGAGCACTTCTTGTGAAAAATCTGCACAGTTATCTACATAGAGCAGTGCTACACAACAATGTATGATAAGCAAAAAGTGCTGGATGGTTTAGTAATTATGGAGCTCTACTGAAGACTGGACTGCAACCTTGGCTATAGTATAGACCTGTTACTGATAGCAGTGAATTTGCAGTGGCCTTCTTGGCCTGTTTGTATTCCTCCTTTCCTCTCATTTGTGGCATTGCCAGAAAGCAGCCCTTGCTGCTCTGCTTAAGTAACTCCGGGACAGCTTGAGTTGGGTTCATTTACATATTTAGCCAGGATTCATAATTAACATCCTCATCTTTTTAAAGGTCTATGAGATTTTTAATAACCATAATTATTCAAAAGGCTTTAGACAGAAAACATCAGTTACTACTAGGTTGCAACCCTTCACTTTTCTAGAAGAAATGGGCACTATTAACAGTCTGATACATAACCTCTGAAATCCAGCAACCTCTGAAGTACAGTGTGGATAGCAGTAAGATAGTGTGGTGTGAAGTATAGCTATTTATCAGTGAACCATGACACACTCAATAGTTTTAAGATAAAAACTAGGAACAACCTCTACACATAGATGCCTTAGGTTAAAAAATACATTCACAGTACCTAATGTCTCTTGCTCAAATGATCAAGTGCTTTACTTTTTGTGTTACTTACGCTAATTTTCTGCTTTGCACAGTGCTGAATCCAGTGAAGGAACAACTCCTGCTGATACCACCCCCATCACCAGGCGAGACAAATGTGAGTTTGACCGACATGATTGCCAGTCAATAAGTCTATTGGCTTCTGAAATAAATAGAAAAACAGATGAGTCAAAACCTTCTTGGCAGTTCAGGCCTGTGCTGCTGCAAGTGCTGAGCTGCATGGAAGTAGAATGTCAGAACAACAAACAGTAGATTAAATAGGAAAAAAAGACTTGTCTGCTATACGCGTTTCCTCTGTTGCCATCCACAATACAAATAATAAGGGACTGAATAGTCTAAAACGAAATCTCTCATGCCCTCTTCAATTTCTGATTGATTTTACAAACACAATATGTAAAAGACAGAATGGCCTCAATTCACAGGCTCTCTATATTTCTTATTTTTTAAAAACCCTGTAATTGTCCCGCTGCTTAAGGAGTTCAAGCCAACCGGTGTATTTCCAAATCACTATGGATGCCAGAACAATACTTAAGCTCCAGACTTAGTCAAGTCCAAAAAGCAGTTCCTTGCATCGGTGCAGAGCCACACTTAAGTCAATGGTGGAATTGGCTAAGTGTGGTACTTAAGCCCAAGGCAGAAGTCTGATTTCAACAGTAAATTTCAGGTTCATGCTCCTCCTCTGGCAGGATTTTTCTTGGATTGCTCTCTTCTGTTTTCCATCAGTGAAACTCTTTTGCTTTCTGGAGAATTGTGTTCTCTGCCATATGTCTACAGAATCCAAGTTACAATGTAAGTAACAGACATATCCTTCAAAGCAGCTGTAGAAAATCACCCAGACAGTTAATATACAGAAAAATTCCCTTCTTTCCCCGCTCAAGCTGGTGTAATGTAAACACCACAACTGAGTAAAACAAAAAGCTGGAGTATCTATTTGTAGAGAGAAGTATAAACTCCAATAAAGAGCTCTACATGCTCCATGCAAAAGTCTGTCCTACATTACAGAATATAGTCTGAAGAACAGTGAGCTCTTAATCTATCAGAGTAGACACTGGAAAGAAACATCCACACTCAACCCCTATGCCTCACATTATCCCATCAGCATGGCTAAAATTAGTCAGACTAGAAGCCTAGAAATGTCAGGATAAGACTCTTTTCCTGGCTCTGCCACTAACTTGGAGAGCAATCTAACTCAATGCTCTTCCAGACTGCATATGAAGAACTGAACGACTGAACTATACTTCCCGAGAGGGGTGAGATTTGAGAGTGTTTTGCTAATTCTGGGCTAGTCTACAAGTACAGGGAATTACTGTAAGTGACTATGCTTTAGCTATCATTATCTACCAAAGCAGTAACAAAAGGTGTCATAGATCTCCACAAGCAGAGATCCTGCAATGAGACCTGACTATTTCGTTAGAAGCCACTCAGGTAGTTCTCCCAGGGTGAAGTCTAAGAATCCCATTTCTTTGCCTGGTCTGCAGGCAGTGCCAAGCTCATGAATACATCTGTGAAAAACAGGCAAAAAATGTTAGAACAAGATGCGAAAAAGATAAATTTGAGCCAAAAAGCTACCTGCTTTGCAAGCTACCCAGTTTGTCAAACGAGGTGTTGGGCATGGCTAGGTGTTTTGCATCTCAGTGCACTGAAGTCCACATGACTCCATAGCTTCAGTAGTATCAGCAGAAATCTGTTGCATGGAAAAACTTAGGTACATCTTAATCACCTTTTAAACAAATTGTACAGCACTTACGTTCTCTTGCTTTGAAAAGATGCCTCCTTAACATCCTTAATCAGAGATTGTACTTGCATCACAGCTGAAGTTTCAAAATATTTTCCATTCTTTCCTCTAGTTTTCAGATGCTTATAAGTCTGTGAACAGTCACCCCATCAAAAGGATCATTAGAGGGGAAAAAAAACCCATGCAAGTTACTGAAAAATGTCATTGCATAACAAGCTCTTAAAGGAAGAAATAAAAGGAATAGCCTCATGGTTATTGACCACATCCCTCATCAAGGTTAAGCCAGATTCCCAGGATCTATTCTTCAGCTCTCTAACCTGGGAAAGTTAGTTCATGAGTAAAAGGGAAGAAGAAAGTGCAGGAAAAACCTTATCTAATTTTATAGGGCTCCTAAAGCCTGCATGGCATGACACTGAAAGCCTTTGAAGCATATAGATAGGAAACAAACAGAGGCAAACCCTTGGCAGGGAACGGAAAGTGGAAAATGATGAGAAGACTCCCAAAGTAAAAATCTGTGGTACTGAACTCTAGATGTGAAGACTTCAGCTGGAAATGTACAGACCTCCAAAACTCAGCTGGTGAACGAAATAAATTGCTTAAATTGCCTAGACTGGATTCTGTTGCCACATGTGTTTTTATAAATTGGATATAATTCTGCACTTCAAGAAGGTACACTGTTGCAAATTAGTAGAAATGAGAGATGAATTGGACCTCACTTGCGCATAGCCATAAGAATTTAAAAATTCTCATGGGTTGTTTGTTTTTTTCCTGCACAAAGCTCAGTCCTCAAGGCCACTGACCGTGTCATGTTCTGCTGTAATGTGTAGCTACATTCAAAAGCAATTCACAAGCACATTTTCACAGTTCCTTCTTATAAGAATGAAGAGAATCTAAATACTGTTAGGAAAGCACCATTAAAAGGGTTATCTTTCTTACTTTGAAATAATGTCAACAAAGTCAAACACCTCTTGGTACACACCTGCAGATGCATTTTTTGTAGCAACCTGGAAATCTTACAGCTCATTTCACACTTCTGAGTAGAAGACCATAAGTAGGATGTCAAGACAACATTTTATTTGCAGTTGTTTATACAGAGGGTTTTGCTAGCCAGAGTGTCTGTATAAAAGTGCTGAGCTACATTACAGCTGCCCCTGAGAAAAAACATCTGGAATTCAACTCTCCCTTTAGGCTAGAAATAAATCAGATAAAGACTCCCGACAAAGCTGAGTTCAAAACTGTCTTCCAACCTGTAACCTCTGCTGTGTAGGCCAGTGACTCCAAATCTCATAAATACAAGGATTATACCCTGGGAAGCAGAGGTACTTCCTTACTTTTAATCTTCCCAAAAAGCACCGAATGTGAATATGGTAGCTAGCTGGGGGCTGGCGTACGTAGAGCGCAAAAATATCAGTCCAAGCTGAAGAAGTCTATTGCCAGGGACGTTAGAAACACCAAACTACTGGAAAAGACAAGGAGTCTTGAAAAAGTCTTATAAAGCTTATAAGTCTTAAGCAGTCTCCAAGCTGCCAGCTACTAATCTACTCAAATATTTTAATACATGCAATTTTGTAAGAGTGAGAATTTAGGTCTCAAAAATGTATTTTTAATATAAATCAAAAGAGTTTTTTTTTCAAATTAAAGGAGTATGTCCCTATTTCAATGATGAGCCAATGATTTGCTATAATAAACTATTAGCCTTTAACCTTCAGCGTTACCAAGTACCCAGGCATGTAGGGCCAAACAGTGGAGCTTCTATACAGCAGTGAGTAGACTGAAACTGCATGTTCTGCTTTGTCTCTTTTAGTTCTAGGATATTCCTCAAGCCAAATGACCTTCATCCTCTACAAACAAAAAGCTGGTGTCTGTTTGTGTTTATGGCTAAACTTTTCCAGCCTTAGTCACATATTTGATTGTTTCTGGGCACAATGGTTTCAACAATTTTATGAGGAAAATATGACTCACTTCTTGCAAAATATTTCTGCTTGCGTTTTGTACTTTAAATTAGTAGCCATGTTTTTCTTTTAATGTCTGCAAGAGGTTCACCTGAACTTGGTGAATTATTGCTCGAGTAAGGTATTCACATTTCTTTAAAATTTATGGTGTTCCAATTGTGAATGACCCGTTTGTTAAGACACCCCCACTTCCTTATAGCTGTGTGTCTGCAAAAACAGTACCAGACTTCTGTTTCCCTCAGCTAATTGTGGACACACCATTGAGTTGATAACCTAGGCAACAAGCGGCTACACGTCTCACCAGTATGGCAGTACCCACGGTTCACTAGCTCCAGCAAGCAGCGGCTGCCTAACGAAATAAAAGCCAGCTTGAAACCAAGTAAATTATTAGTCACTACAGTAAATAAACGCAATGACTGAACACAAACTAACAAATGTCAATCACTTCAATGTCTTAGGATCGTGTTTGTGATTCTGGATACATTACATGATCATGACAATTTGTCTTACACTACTTGATGCTAACTTTCTCCTTACATTTTTATATTACTGTTGTTATTTTTATACATAATTTTATTTTTAAATATTACATTTGCTTTACTTGGAAGGACAATAAAGCCATTCTATCTCCTAGTTGTGGAAACCAACCAGAGTTGATTTCAGTTGGTATTATCACAACATAATCCTTTTCTCAGTATCAGATGTGCTCAACATTTCATTGGAGGGACCGCAGCCTTGGCCCTAAGATGTGGCCTATATTTGTGCCTATACAGTGAATCCTCTTAGTAAGTGGATTTCTGCATAGCATAGCACAGAGATTTTATTGTAGAGTTGCCACCTAGAATCTATGTCTTTTTAGAGCATGCTTTTATAAAATTCAATTCAGCTCCATGAAAGCCAAACGAATTTGCCATTAATGTGTGTTGGCTCGATACCATCTGGACTAAAACTCAATTTTCACTGTATGTAACCAAAATCAGTAGTGATTGAGCAGATGAACATTTAGGGACTTTAGAGACATTCTCTGTACATACTCTAGAAATGATCTGTGATCCCAACTAATCAGCTGTTGTTTCAAAAAAATCTTCAAAAGTGCTAAGTTACTCATTGCACTTCCCTGAATTTATTATGAACTCCACTACAATAACTGTTTTGCTGTTATAATTGCATCTTTATTAGGGTTTTAGCTGATAGAAATATATACTGTAAACATTTAGTAGGTGAAAAGACAAGCCTAACATAATTACACCAGAAAATTTCTAGCATAAGTCAAATTTAAGACCGATTTTGCAAACTGGGCAACATTTGTCTACCACCACATTGATGTAATCACAATTATTTTTCTTCCTCTCACTTCAAAACTCAGGAACAATGGAATTAACTAGCACTTCTGGATGCTTATGATGGGTGGTATCCATTTCAAAACA